GCTAGGGCATTAAATGGAATTTTGTTTACCCATGAAGGTTTTGTATTAAGCATCCAATGGGTATTTTTACAAGGAACAGTAATTTGTCTTACAGTGATGCACAGAACTGTGGAACTTTTATTGTTAGGCCCAAAAGAAGTCAGACTTTGACATTATTCCCCCAGCTGACTCTATTACGGCTGTTGTCTCGAAATGGCAATTTCATTTGTGAAATTGCTGTTTTGCTTTTAACTCATGATCTAGCTATGCATAGTGAATTCAAAATAAATATTACCCATTACTTTCAACAGCACCAAAAGAAAATGAGAGGTGCAGGTCACTAAGACAGCTGTTGGCAAATAATGTTTTGAACTGTAAAAAGAATTCAACAGACAGCTCATCACTTGTGGGCCACTAATCACATGTGAACTAAATATGAATTGAATTTCACATCCAAAACCGACATGACAAGCATCTTGCGTTCTCACAGTTCCTCAACCCCGAGATATCTTTGGAACACTTGAAATAAAAAAATAATAAAAAAAGAGATAATGAAATCTGCTTAACCATCGAACCACAATTAGATGCACAGCATAAAATGGAAGTTATGCTAATTATTTAAATTGAAGTAAGCAGTGAAAATAATGTAGTTTATTTCTGGAGTATGATTATTAGACACTAATTTCCGCTCCCATTGTGTCACTATCCAGCAACGTCCATGTTTATGAGCTACAGATTTTTAAAGGACTAGGTAAATGCATGAGCACTTTATTATGATGGGTGTAATAGAACAATAAGCAAACTAAAACATTTTTTTTTGTGTTAAATATAAAACCAAAAACCCAGCTGTTACATTTTGCATATACGCCATATATATCATTTATCACTGTCTAGTGACTAAAGTCTTTGGTAGCCCAATTCTAGGTCTGTATTGTTTACTTAATTATGGCCTTGATTTAATTAGTTCATCAGAAATTATTTCAATCTATTAGAATCTTATTTTTAAAATTATTTATCTACAGAAATCACCATTAAAGTCTATGTTAATTTTTGCAACTCAATAATGAGATTTTTGTTTTTCCTCACAGATTGGAATAATTTATTTATGCTGAATCATTATAGCATGGCCTATGTATAAACTAAATTAGTACATATTTACTAGCACTACAGATGACTTTAAAGATATGACTATAGAATAGAACAATAATTCTCTGTGAGAAACTAAAATTCCAAATAATGCATTTACATTTCTTAAATACCTATGCATTACAAACATGTAAACATCACACATATCTATCATACACATACAGTAAGTCCATAATATGCATATGGAACGCACAATGCAATGGGGGGCCATATTCAGTTTGCTCAGGTAATTTACACATTATTTAATCATGCCTGCAATCTTGAGTTAATATATGCCTGTGCAAGCCTCCAATGCCAGTTTATGCCTGCAATAATTTATATGAAGACGTGGAGATAGTTTCTTATATTTTTGCAATGTACTGTTATAAATGTTTTTAGCTCCAAATGAGGTTCAGAGCCATATGGCACTATTCTAAGTGTTTCCAGTTTACTTACACAAGATCAATGAAATGCTAATTTGGGCCATAAATTAATATTTTTTGGATAAGCTTTTCAAATGATGTATCTATAGCAGTCAACATTAACGTCTATTGGAATATAGATAAATCATTTAAAAATGTTATCCAAATAGAATAAATAATTTGAAAAGCCTTTGCAAAAATATTAAATTGAGGCCTTTATTAGTCTTTGTTGCATTCCAGTCTGGTAGTCAAGCAGCAGGCTCAACATACTGAGTACGACTCTGCCTCTAGTTGATCTGATTATAGATTAATAGATTATCTACCTAGTGCCAGCAAGATTGGCTCGTATGTATAGCACAACATCAGATAAGTGTTGGAGTTGTGCCTCAGTGAGGGGCACTCTACTGCACACCTGGTTGGAGTGTTCAGTACTCAAACCATGCTGGGACACGTTTGCGAACATGAGTGCAGAAGTGGCGGAGGTACCAGTCCAGGCTTCAGTAGAGTTTTTTCTTCTGTTCATGACCCAGACACTTTCACCACACACCAAAGGTTACTTACCTTACACACACATGTGGCAGACCGCCTGGCACTCTGACTGGGTACCTCTGCCAATCGCTGCTTCCTAGTGCTCACCAAGTGCTCACCAAGTACTCCACCAGAAACCATCACCGCCGCAGCTTGGCTGGGGTCTCGCCAACCCTTCCCACCCTGGCCCAAACTCCTGGATCCAGCTCCGAGTAGGAAGACCCCTCCTCCAAGAGAGTATAGCAGGATAGCTCTGAAAAGAGCTAGTGATATAGCCTGTATAGCCTTCTCCCACAGACATGAGACGAGGCTCTATGCTGGGGATGAACTGGTACTGGTTTAATCGGAGCCACATGTGGCTGTGGCCTTTTATGCAACTCCCCATGCAAGGGGTTTCCGTAATCACATTCCAGGGGCATTCCACACTGGACCTGAGAGGAGATTAGTTACAAGCAAAAATTGCCCACACTCCTCCCCTGTGCCTGAGAGATAATTATCTGAGCACACAAGCATATAATAAAATTATCTCTCAGTACAAAAACATACAATTTAATAAACCCCAAACCACATGAAAACCCCACAAAAGTAACATCCCATGATACCCCCGATCTGGGTGACCAAAATATCCTAAAATCACCCAGAACAGTTCAGGGGTTCTGTGTCTGCTTTTAGTTCCATGAGATTCATGCCCAAACACCGCAGATGGCCGCCACCTTGTGGTCGTTCATATGAAATGCAGCCACCCAGATGAACACTGCGGTGGAAATTGCTACAAAGTATTAATTGGGCTTAACAAGCTCCTGGCTGGTCTCTAATTTCGTGGGGTTGTTCGGCTCCCAAACCATATAATCCCAATTGCACGAACAGAGCCTTTTTAAAGTATATTAGCTGAGGTCTAGTGCAGGGGCCATAGTACTGAGGCAGGAGGCTGGCAAGCAGGCGCCTGTGGCGAGGTTCTATTATCCAGACATCAAATCCACTGATAGCTAGGGGCTGGAAATCTGCAATAGCTACTACTAAAGAGGAGGTAACACAGCAGGTGTCCCTTAAAGGTTCATACAAACGAATGGCTCACATGAGCTCAAACAGGAATTTTAAAACGATAGAAGCATTGGACACTCGGAGAAGGAAATTTGAACATAACAATAGTGATATCGTAAAAAAAAACTTGCACAACTAGATACGATTACAGATCACTATGATAGTGACAAGCACTATTGACCCCTTATGGGTAGCAATGTCACAAGTTTAGAGATATGTTTATGCAGACTCTGAACATAACAAGCTAGGTACAGGTTGCCTCCACCCTTGGTATATACTTTTGTGGCAGAACTTACCACCTATTCTTATGTTTTACCTTATTTCGTGTCGTTGACTCTTCTCCCTGTTCGGGAGTACTTCATACAAGCAAAATACATTTGTCTCCTGAATGGGGACCACCCCTGTGCCCCATTAGAATGTTCACACCAGGAACTTAAGTGTGAAACCGCAAGGGAAGTAATTAATGAATGCCGATTGTCCTGGAACTGTTTTGGGCTAGCACCTCGTGTCTGGCCAGTCAAAATTTTACCTCAATGGCATTCCCATTTCACCGAACTGATCTGAGTGATTCTTAGATATCTTATACACTCAGACTGGGGCTATCGGGCAATGTACTTTGTATTGGGTTCCTGAGTATTGTGGGGGTATTTTTGGGGTACAGTATATTTTGCAGGATTTTCTGTACCTGAGTGATAATTAAATTAGAGGATTTTTTTCACGCAATTATCTCTCAGGCTCAGATGATCTTGGGATTGAAACCCATGTTTTATTGTGTTTTAAACCCCTTGTAGGGGACTGGTCATAAAAGTCATGTGTGACTCAATAAACGTCAGTTGTACTCCCAGAACTGTGTGTCGTCTAGTTGCTGGGGAGGAGGTGGGATATTTCTTTGGCGTTTTTCTTGTTCCTGACTGTATTTTGGTGGATCCAGCAGTGAAAAGTCCCTGCCAGGACCCTGGAAAGACTCCTTTACCTCCCTATCCTCTTTCTCCCCCCTTCCTTTCTCCTATTGTTCTTACATCTCTTCTGTCTAACTTTGCTTCCTCTCTACTTCACTACGCATTAAGAAAAGTTGGACGGGGCGACATTCTGGTCCAGGATACATATAGCACATCCTATGTATGGCGTGGCAGCTCATAAAATGGAGGACCCACAAGACTCCCTCCCCATTTTACAGCTGTGTTTTGTACCACTGGATCCTCTGCAATTGCATAAATATGTCTGCCTATTCCATCTGCTAAAATGCCAAGGACGGGGATTGTCAGTCTGACATTTGCTGTTAAGCTGCTAGTAAAAGTACCTGACTTTGATATGTTGCCACCTCTTCAAACAATAAAAGAACTAAAGATGAAAAAAAAAAAAAGAATAATAGATTATCATGTGTAGTTTTATACCTCCCAACTTTGGAAGGTATGAAAGTAATACATGGGTGGGTGGAACTAGAGGGGGCATGCCAGCAAAAAATTCAAAAAATAGGTACAGTATATACTCGAGTATAAGTCTAGTTTTTCAGCACATTTTTTGTGCTTAAAAACACCCACTCGACTTATACTCGAGTCACTGTCTGTATTATGGCAACTTAGAGAGCCGCGGCCGTCAGAGCCGTGGCAACGATCCGCGCGACAACCAGACCGCGAGACTTACAGTGGAGCTGACCAGAACGGAGGAGAAGGGAGCTGACAGGAGCTGCAGGAAAGGTAAGTAAATGCTTCCTGCTGGCCCCCCCACTTCACAGCCCATGCCACTGGACCACCAGGGATTAAGATAGCCCTCCTCCCTGACCGGTTAACAAGCAGGGAGGGGGACAAAAAAAATTTAAAATAATTTAAAAAAAAAATTAAAATAAAAAAAAATTAAAATAATAAAAATGCCCTCTCCCCACCCAGTTCACACACACTCTTCATTATATACACACTCTGCATTATATACACACTCTGCATTATATACACAGAGTCTGTGTATATAATGCAGAATGTGTGTTTGTATGAGTGTGTGTGTATATAATTATAAAAATCACAGAATTTCATAGCCCCAAGTTTTACCCTCGACTTATCCACGAGGCATAGCATATTTCACAATTGTTGGTCACAAAACTGCACTTGACTTATACATGAGATCGACTTATACACGAGTATATACGGTAGTCTGCAAGAAAAGGTGACATACCACCCACAGAAGGGGAGTGTTAGCACACCAGCTGACTCTCGGAAGACTATGCAGAGCCCTCAGTTAGATCTTAGATGATACAACTTGGCCTCGACTATTATAGAATTACTATTCTAGCTCTAATGTTCTTTTATTTATTTATTTTTTTACATTTATTGAGTTACTTAGGGGGCGTAGCGAGAGGACATAGCGTGGCATGCTACATCCTCATAGAACGCGGCTGAGGGAGTGATCAAGGGAGCTGAGGAAACGGGTCTGATTTACCTAGTGTGCCACCCAGGGTGCCGTAAAATGGAGACAATGCAGGAGGAAGCAGGGAGCCTTCCACACGCCAGAAAAAGCCACAGCCAGCCAAATAATAGAAAGGAGGAGCTAATCCTCGCAAACATATCCAAGTAGAAAAAAAACAACGCTAGCAGGATCAAACAGCAAGTGGGAGTATACCTTCACAAGCTAAGTGGCAATAATTACCCCCCAAGAAATCTTCTTTTTTCTTTGTAGCTTTTTTTCTTTCAGTTGTCCTTTTCCTAATGCTTATGTTGCAGAGGCTGATAAATAGCATTGAATCTCCTTACAATTAGAGAAGGTCTGCAGTGAGCCAAATGGAGTTGCCCAGCGACCCAGCAACTTTTCTCTAAGTTATGGTCTGTATTTTTCTCTCCGCTCAAATAACATTTTGCTTCTATATACTATTCCTGTTACTCAGTGAGATTTTTAAAAATAAGAAACTGAACAGGAAGGAAAGAGAGGAAAAGAGAAAAGAGAGGAGAAGAGAAGTGAAGGAAAAGAAGGAAGGAGAAAAAGGCAAAAAAAGAAGAGAAAGGGGAGAAAAGAGAAAAAAAAGGGGGAAAATGCTACAAAACATAACTGCATACTAGGACAGAAAGGAGAAGGCAGGAGCGAAGGGCTGAAGGAGAAAAGGTTAGGGAGAAAGAAACGCAGATAGGAAAGGGCACTATACTAATAGTGAAAATAGCACTAGCCTAAAAGAGCAGATAACTCCCAGAAGAAAGAACTAAACTAAACTAGAAAAGCTACAATTTCTGGGGAAATTGTGTGAAGTGTTCTTGCCTCCACCAGTAGTCTAGCACATTCAATTGCAACGTTGTTGCACAGTTACATTAAACCATACATTTATAAAAACATTAGCAGGTGTTCAAAAGGCCCTGTCTATGACATCACTTGCTGCTGCAGCTTGACACAGGTCAGAGTATTTTGGCGGTTGCCATCTTCAAACGGTCGTATCTTAAAAACTATAACTCCTACAGTGAAGAGCTTTATATTGTGAGAATCACAAGACCCAGACCTACATTTTGATGCATAGTATGTCTCTGAAGTATTAAAATGAAGGCACAGTCGCAGTTTAGAAATTGCCCTTCAAATTTGAGCTGGCTTGAGTGAAGTTTCAATGAATGTCAATGGAAGGCGTGAGTTGCAAACAAATGTTCATATTGTGAAATCTATCAGGACTATGGCTTAGCCGTGGACATTTCTAGTGGCAGCAGGGATAGCTGAACGTTTTGATATAAGATTTGTGTAGGTGGGCCTGAAAATAAGGGAGTGGTGGCAGTTTAGAAATCATGTCCTGATTTTTCAGCTTTTGCCAGCTCCCACTCTAGCTTTGCCATTCATTCCTATGGGACAAATTTTGCCACAAGAACGACAATATTCCGTGAACCATTCGGCGAAACGTTCCACAAAGTAATAGCAATCCGATCGGGAACAATCTGCACGTTTTGGTAAATTTTTGTCTATGTAGTGTAAAACTGTGGGAGGAGTTAGGGTGGCAAATTTTGCTATAATAAGAATAATAATAACTAGAAAAGCTACAATTTCTGGGGAAATTGTGTGAAGTGTTCTTGCCTCCACCAGTAGTCTACAACTGGAGTGGGTGGAGTAACTGTTATCACTTATATAGCACATTTAATTGCAACGTTGTTGCACAGTTACATTAAACCATACATTTATAAAAACATTAGCAGGTGTTCAAAAGGCCCTGTCTATGACATCACTTACTGCTGCAGCTTGACACAGGTCAGAGTATTTTGGCGGTTGCCATCTTCAAACGGTCGTATCTTAAAAACTATAACTCCTACAGTGAAGAGCTTTATATTGTGAGAATCACAAGACCCAGACCTACATTTTGATGCATAGTATGTCTCTGAGCTATTAAAATTGAAGGCACAGTCGCAGTTTAGAAATTGCACTTCAAATTTGAGCTTTGCAGAGTGAAGTTTCAATGAAAGTCAATGGACGGCGTTAGTTGCAAACAAATGATTATATTGTGAAAACTATCAGGACTATGACTTAGCCGTTGACATGTGTAGTGGCAGGAGGGATAGCTGAACGTTTTGATCTAAGATTTGTGTAGGTGGTCCTGAAAATGAGGGAGTGGCGGCAGTTTAGAAATCATGTCCTGATTTTTCAGCTTTTGCCAGCTCCCACTCTAGCTTTGCCATTCATTCCTATGGGACAAATTTCGCCACAAGAACGACGATATTCCGTGAACCATTCGGCGAAACGTTCCACAAAGTAATAACAATCCGATCGGGAACAATCTGCACGTTTTGGTAAATTTTTGTCTATGTAGTGTAAAAACTGTGGGAGGAGTTAGGGTAGCAAATTTTGCTATAATAATAATAATAATAATATATATGTGAGATAACATTAAGTGGTCTTGCTATGCAAGAACACTTAATAATAACTAGAAAAGCTACAATTTCTGGGGAAATTGTGTGAAGTGTTCTTACTTGCCTCCACCAGTAGTCACAGCACATTCCAATTTACGCGTTGTTGCACAGTTACATTAAACCATACATTTATAAAAACATTAGCAGGTTTTCAAAAGGCCTTGTCTATGACATCACTTGCTGCTGCAGCTTGACACAGGTCAGAGTATTTTGGTGGTTGCCATCTTCAAACGGTCATATTTTTAAAACTATAAATCCTACAGCGAAGAGCTTTATATTGTGAGAATCACAAGACCCAGACCTACATTTTGATGCATAGTATGTCTCTGAAGTATTAAAATTGAAGTCACAGTCGCAGTTTAGAAATTGCAATTCAAATTTGAGCTTTGCAG